TTAGGTAAGATTAGGTTAGGTTAGGTTAGGTTAGGTTAGGTTAGGTAAGGTTAGGTTAGGTTAGGTTAGGTTAGGTTAGGTTAGGTTAGGTTAGGTAAGATAAGGTAAGGTAAGGGTTTGGTTAGGTTAGGTTAGGTTAGGTTAGGTAAGGTTAGGTTAGGTTAGGTTAGGTTAGGTTAGGTTAGGTTAGGTTAGGTAAGATAAGGTAAGGTAAGGTTAGGTTAGGTTAGGTTAGGTTAGGTTAGGTAAGGTTAGGTTAGGTTAGGTTAGGTTAGGTTAGGTTAGGTAAGGTTAGGTTAGGTAAGGTTAGGTTAGGTTAGGTTAGGTTAGGTTAGGTTAGGTTAGGTTAGGTTAGGTTAGGTTAGGTAAGATAAGGTAAGGTAAGGTTAGGTTAGGTTAGGTTAGGTTAGGTTAGGTAAGGTTAGGTTAGGTTAGGTTAGGTTAGGTTAGGTTAGGTTAGGTAAGGTACGGTTAGGTTAGGTTAGGTTAGGTTAGGTTTGGTTAGGTTAGGTTAGGTAAGGTAAGGTAAGGTAAGGTAAGGTTAGGTTAGGTTACGTTAGGTTAGGTGAGGTGAGGTGAGGTGAGGTGAGGTTAGGTTAGGTTAGGTTAGGTTAGGTAAGGTAAGGTTAGGTTAGGTTAGGTTAGGTTAGGTTAGGTAAGGTAATGCTAGGTTAGGTTAGGTTAGGTAAGGTTAGGTAAGGTAAGGTTAGGTAATGCTAGGTTAGGTTAGGGTAGGTAAGGTAAGGTTAGGTAAGATAAGGTTAGGTAATGCTAGGTTAGGTAAGGTAAGGTTAGGTAATGCTAGATTAGGTAAGGTAAAGTTAGGTAATGCCAAGTTAGGTAAGGTAAGGTTAGCTTAGATAAGGTTCGTCAGGAAACAGAACAAGTGCTTCCTGACGCGGGTCTTGGTCATATGATGACCCTCTGCTGGAGCTTTTGGTCATCTGACCGAGGCCTTCCACTGGCTTACCACTCCACCACTTTAAATATTATGGTTATACTTACAACTATTTCAAGTATATGATTTCTTTTTGTGAATTCTTCAGTATTAAATAGCGCAGGGTAGCTGCTTATATATTTTGGAATGGGGGGGGATACCTTATATATAGTAACCTAAACTAACATAGTGTATCTCAATCTTACCTTAAATTATTCCTTAATTTAGGTTAGATCGGTTTATTTTAAGTTTAGGTTGGTTACCAAATTACATTTTTCCCCCTTGACCCAAAATATATCTTTATCCATAGCACAACCCGCTTAATAGTGGATAATTTACATAATAAACTATAATCAAACTCCACCCGAGGAGCAGCATTTAATATTAGTCAAGTTTTATGGCTAATCACAGTAATTTTAATTAATTTTGATTAGTTTCCCTTTTAAAAAGTGTTCACAATAAGCTATTATTTAATTTAAGTTTATTTACCCGTTTTCTTGAGCTGGTAACACTATAAGGGTTACTATTTTAAAACATTTAAATTATAATATAGTTCTGCAACCATTTACAACTAATAAATAACAGTTTGTTGTAAATTAAAATAAAAATTTACATAATGCTTTTTAAACTTAGAAAGTCTAAGACTTTCTGTATTGTAAGATAATGTGGATTGGGAGGTGTAAGCCAGTGGAAGGCCTCAGTCAAATGACCAAAACCTCCTGCTTTGGGTCAATATCTGACCAACACCCGCGTTAGGACACCCATGTCGTCCTTCCTGACCAACCAACAGGTAATGGTGGTACAGTTGTAATATTCTGATACGTCTTTGTGTCCTGGTAGACTAGACACTTCTTAAGGAGTCTTTGTGTCCTGGTAGACTAGACACTTCTTAAGGAGTCTTTGTGTCCTGGTAGACTAGACGCTTCTTGAGGAGTCTTTGTGTCCTGGTAGACTAGACGCTTCTTGAGGAGTCTTTGTGTCCTGGTAGACTAGACGCTTCTTGAGGAGTCTTTGTGTCCTGGTAGACTAGACACTTCTTGAGGAGTCTTTGTGTCCTGGTAGACTAGACACTTCTTGAGGAGTCTTTGTGTCCTGGTAGACTAGACACTTCTTGAGGAGTCTTTGTGTCCTGGTAGACTAGACACTTGATGAGTCTTTGTGTCCTGGTAGACTAGACACTTGATGAGTCTTTGTGTCCTGGTAGACTAGACACTTCTTGATGAGTCTTTGTGTCCTGGTAGACTAGAGACTTCTTGAGGAGTCTTTGTGTCCTGGTAGACTAGACACTTCTTGATGAGTCTTTGTGTCCTGGTAGACTAGACACTTCTTGATGAGTCTTTGTGTCCTGGTAGACTAGACACTTCTTGATGAGTCTTTGTGTCCTGGTAGACTAGACACTTCTTGAGGAGTCTTTGTGTCCTGGTAGACTAGACACTTCTTGAGGAGTCTTTGTGTCCTGGTAGACTAGACACTTCTTAAAGAGTCTTTGTGTCCTGGTAGACTAGACACTTCTTGGTGAGTCATAGGTGACATGTCTTTGTGTCCTGGTAGACTAGACATGTCTAGGTGTCCTGGTAGACTAGAGATGTCTTTAGGTGTCCTGGTAGACTAGACATGTCTTTAGGTGTCCTGGTAGACTAGACATGTTTTTAGGTGTCCTGGTAGACTAGACATGTCTTTAGGTGCCCTGGTAGACTAGACATGTCTTTAGGTGTCTTGGTAGACTAGACATGTCTTTAGGTGTCCTGGTAGACCAGACATGTCTTTAGGTGTCCTGGTAGACTAGACATGTCTTTAGGTGTCCTGGTAGACCAGACATGTCTTTAGGTGCCCTGGTAGACTTAGACATGACTTTGATGAGACTTAGATGACATGAAGAGTTCAGATACATCTTAATGGTTCCTGTGAGACTGTAGATACATATTGATGTGTCTTGGAATACTCATGTCACAACCTGATGTGTCCTGGGAGAATGTGGATACGTCTTGATGTGTCCTGGGAGAGTCCAGACGTGTTATGACGTAGCCTGACATGTCTTGACGTGTACTAGGTGAGTCCAGACGTGCTATGACGTAGGCTGACAAGTATTGACAAGTCACGACCTGGAAATAAATGTGACTGCATTGAGAACCAGGCCTAATTAACAATTATTCATGTAGTCTCTCTCTCTCTCTCTCTCTCTGCCAAATAAACACAGTGAAAAAACAGTGAGATTCCAAGATCTTTCTTGATTTCTCATAATATATATATATATATTATATATATATATATATATATATATATATATATATATATATATATATATATATATAATATATATATATTATTATATATATATTTTATTATCACACTGGCCGATTCCCACCAAGGCAGGGTGACCCCGAAAAAGAAAAACTTTCACCATCATTCACTCCATCACTGTCTTGCCAAAGGGTGCTTTACACTACAGTTTTTAAACTGCAACATTAACACCCCTCCTTCAGAGTGCAGGCACTGTACTTCCCATCTCCAGGACTCAAGTCCGGCCTGCCGGTTTCCCTGAATCCCTTCATAAATGTTACTTTGCTCACACCCAACAGCACGTCAAGTATTAAAAACCATTTGTCTCCATTCACTCCTATCAAACACGCTCACGCATGCCTGCTGGAAGTCCAAGCCCCTCGCACACAAAACCTCCTTTACCCCTCCCTCCAAACCCTTCCTAGGCCGACCCCTACCCCGCCTTCCTTCCACTACAGACTGATACACTCTGAAGTTATTCTGTTTCGCTCCATTCTCTCTACATGTCCGAACCACCTCAACAACCCTTCCTCAGCCCTCTGGACAACAGTTTTGGTAATCCCGCACCTCCTCCTAACTTCCAAACTACGAATTCTCTGCATGATATTCACACCACACATTGCCCTCAGACATGACATCTCCACTGCCTCCAGCCTTCTCCTCGCTGCAACATTCATCACCCATGCTTCACACCCATATAAGAGCGTTGGTAAAACTATACTCTCATACATTCCCCTCTTTGCCTCCAAGGACAAAGTTCTCTGTCTCCACAGACTCCTAAGTGCACCACTCACTCTTTTTCCCTCATCAATTCTATGATTCACCTCATCTTTCATAGACCCATCCGCTGACACGTCCACTCCCAAATATCTGAATACGTTCACCTCCCCATACTCTCTCCCCTCCAATCTGATATTCAATCTTTCATCACCTAATCTTTTGTTATCCTCATAACCTTACTCTTTCCTGTATTCACCTTTAATTTTCTTCTTTTGCACACCCTACCAAATTCATCCACCAATCTCTGCAGCTTCTCTTCAGAATCTCCCAAGAGCACAGTGTCATCAGCAAAGAGCAGCTGTGACAACTCCCACTTTGTGTGTGATTCTTTATCTTTTAACTCCACGCCTCTTGCCAAGACCCTCGCATTTACTTCTCTTACAACCCCATCTATAAATATATTAAACAACCACGGTGACATCACACATCCTTGTCTAAGGCCTACTTTTACTGGGAAAAAATTTCCCTCTTTTCTACATACTCTAACTTGAGCCTCACTATCCTCGTAAAAACTCTTCACTGCTTTCAGTAACCTACCTCCTACACCATACACCTGCAACATCTGCAACATTGCCCCCCTATCCACCCTGTCATACGCCTTTTCCAAATCCATAAATGCCACAAAGACCTCTTTAGCCTTATCTAAATACTGTTCACTTATATGTTTCACTGTAAACACCTGGTCCACACACCCCCTATATATATATATATATATATATATATATATATATATATATATATTATAATATATATTGAGAGATATGTGAAAATTAGTGAAGCCGATATTTGCTGGTGTGATTCATTCAACACACATTGTGTGGCAGTGTGAGGCAGTATTAGCGATGTAGTGTGACTCACCTGCATTGGTCGGTGGTGAAGAGTGATGGGCCAGTTTCTTTGTTCAGTGTCCATGGCCTTCATACCGTGGCCTTAGCCATCTTGCTGTGGCCCAGGCCAGCTTTACCCTTAAGCATCTTACTGACTGCTTCACACACTCACACATGCCTTTACTACGTTCCCGATACCACATTTCACCAATAGACTGGTTGATCAGGCCGTAATCCACGGAGAGGCCTGGTCATGGACCTGGCTGATGGGGGCGTTGACCCCCGGAACGCTCTCCAGGTACATAATATGTTAAGTACTGCTGCTTATTAAGTCATTCGACTCTGCACAAGTCTATCTTAGATGGACCTTTAAATCTTGCTTATGTGTATCTCGATCCATTCTCGCGGACGACTTAATTAAATCCCACAACATCGCCCGAATCGGGTTCAATTAGCGTCAATCTCACACTAACGAACCCTCTGAAACCTTTTTATTTACATCCCTCGTGGCGGACGGACACCCCTTTACACAGGCTATAGACACACAGACAAACGTCCGCACACTTCTATGTCCACTTTTATGACAGTTCCAATAGTTTGTGAGGTGAGTTTTTTCACTGCGGTTAAGTTTTAGATATTTGATGCACTGCGTGATGTTGTTCCCAGTAGTGGAGGAGCTGTATGTTGTTCATCTCTGGCTGGACGATACCAGCTGGGCGACACAAGCAACACTGGCTGGGTCCCTCCACTGTGGTCACTATCTGAAACACAAGAGAACACATCAATATGTACCAACTCTGACCTCCAATAATACCTGGAATCAATATCAACAAAAAGTAAGACTGGTACAGCTGAGATGTCCGTCTAATTTTGAGCTAAATGGGTATTATAAATGTCGTTATCGAAAATTTCTTGACCTCAGCCATGTTCGTCTGATGTTCTGAACTTGGAGTTCCCTCTCTCACTTTGGTTTATGAGAGGGATGGAAAAATACGGAGATAATTAGGGTGGATTTAGATTTTGTCGTCGAAGTGGCTAGTTTATTGTGCACCCCATATCCATCCTGTGGATGGTAGCGCAAGAGCGTATGGATACACACAAGGCCTAGAAACCAGTGGCGGATCTACATTTTTGGGGCCCTGAAGCTTGAACTGTAATGGGGTACCCTTTCTCATACAGTAGTCCCAAAATTTTAAGCATTGTAGACTAAAGTGGCTTCTGGGGCCCTTCCGGAATTAGGGGCCCTCAGGATTAAACCTCCTTTCTTTCATAGTAGATCCGCCCCTGCTAGAAACTAGGCCCCAAAAGGGTTAACAGGAGTTCATCTGGATTATATCCACAGGTCTCTTATCTGCTACAAGCAAATTTAAGAGTCGTAAAAGCGTTTGGAATTTCACAATTTTTTTTACCGGTGGTTTTGCATATTGTGATATCACCTGTTTACAGTGATCTTATTGTATAGTAACACGTGTGTAAATTATCCTCCAGGGTAACCCAAAAATGTCAGATATAATTATTTATTTCCATTGTTTAGTTCTGGCGTCTCCAGTGGGAGAGAGAGGTGGCAGGGGCTTTGAGGAGTGGGTGGCAGGGTAGGAAGGAAGGGTGGCAGGGTATGCAGGAGGTCGGGTATCCTTGGGCAGGGGTATGGAGGGTAGGAGACTCAACATTATTATCATAATGACTGGGCAAGTTAAGACTCCCTCGAAGGCAACACTAGATCCCCTCCCTCTCTCTTTCCACTCCCTCTCTCTTCCCTCTCCCTCTTCCTGCCCTTTTCCCTCTCTCTGCCCATTTTGTCCTATTTTTCCCTCGTTCCCCCTCTTTCTCCCTGCCCTCCCTGTCCCCTCTCTCTGCCCTCTCTTTCCCTCTGTCCTCTCCCTGCCCTCTTTCCTCTCTCCCTGCCCTCTTTCTCTCTCTCTCTCTCTCTCTCTCTCTCTCTCTCTCTCTCTCTCTCTCTCTCTCTCTCTCTCTCTCTCTCTCTCTCTCTCTCTCTCTCTCTCCCTTCCCTTTTCCTTCTCTCTTCTGCTCGCTCTTCTCTCCCCCTCTCCCTCTCCTCCCTCCTCTTTTTCCTCTCCTGCCGCCCACCATGATGTCAGGGTGCCACAAACAAAGGCACTCTGGGCGGCACTCACTGGCGGCTAGAGTGTCAACTTCTGACCTCACGACCGGAATCACCTCTGTGTAAGATCCAGTATATGTCTGCTGGCTTAAACTGCTTGTTTGATGGCTTACTGGCAAGCCATGGCTGTTGCTGATCAGTCATGGGTGCTACTGGGCCAGTCATGACTGCTACTGGCAAGTCATGGCTGCTACTGGTCAGTCATGGGTGCTACTGGGCCAGTCATGACTGCTACTGGCAAGTCATGGCTGCTACTGGTCAGTCATGGGTGCTACTGGGCCAGTCATGACTGCTACTGGCAAGTCATGGCTGCTACTGGTCAGTCATGGGTGCTACTGGGCCAGTCATGACTGCTACTGGCAAGTCATGAGTGCTACTGGTCAGTCATGGGTGCTACTGGGCCAGTCATGACTGCTACTGGCAAGTCATAGATGCTACTGGTCAGTCATGGGTGCTACTGGGCCAGTCATGACTGCTACTGGCAAGTCATGGATGATACTGGTCAGTCATGTGTGCTACTGGGCCAGTCATGACTGCTACTGGCAAGTCATGACTGCTACTGGTCAGTCATGGGTGCTACTGGGCCAGTCATGACTGCTACTGGCAAGTCATGAGTGCTACTGGTCAGTCATGGGTGCTACTGGGCCAGTCATGACTGCTACTGGCAAGTCATGAGTGCTACTGGTCAGTCATGGGTGCTACTGGGCCAGTCATGACTGCTACTGGCAAGTCATGAGTGCTACTGGTCAGTCATGGGTGCTACTGGGCCAGTCATGACTGCTACTGGCAAGTCATGAGTGCTACTGGTCAGTCATGGGTGCTACTTGGTCAGTCATGAGTGCTACTTGGTCAGTCATGAGTGCTACTTGGTCAGTCATGAGTGCTACTTGGTCAGTCATGAGTGCTACTTGGTCAGTCATGAGTGCTACTTGGTCAGTCATGGCTGCTACTGGCAAGTCATGGCTGCTACTGGTCAGTCATGAGTGCTACTTGGTCAGTCATGAGTGCTACTGGTCAGTCATGAGTGCTACTTGGTCAGTCATGAGTGCTACTGGTCAGTCATGAGTGCTACTTGGTCAGTCATGAGTGCTACTTGGTCAGTCATGAGTGCTACTTGGTCAGTCATGAGTGCTACTTGGTCAGTCATGAGTGCTACTTGGTCAGTCATGAGTGCTACTTGGTCAGTCATGAGTGCTACTTGGTCAGTCATGAGTGCTACTTGGTCAGTCATGAGTGCTACTCGTCAGTCATGAGTGCTACTGGTCAGTCATGAGTGCTACTTGGTCAGTCATGTGTGCTACTTGGTCAGTCATGAGTGCTACTTGGTCAGTCATGTGTGCTACTTGGTCAGTCATGTGTGCTACTTGGTCAGTCATGTGTGCTACTTGGCAGGCCATGTGTGCTACTTGGCCAGTCATGTGTGCCACATGGCCAGCCATATGTGTTACTTGGCCAGCCATGTGTGCTACTTGGCCATCCATGTGTGCTACTGACCAGCCATGTGTTCTTCTTGGCCAGCCATGTGTGCTACCTGGCCAGGCATGTGTGCTACTGACAGCCATGACTGCTTCAGTTAGGTGAGTACACACTCACATGTACGTCAGGCCCATACTGGAGTATGCAGCACCAGTTTGGAACCCACACCTGGTCAAGCACGTCAAGAAATTAGAAAAAGTGCAAAGGTTTGCAACAAGACTACGAGGAGAGGTTAAGGGAAATCAACCTGATGGCACTGGAGTACAGGAGAGATAAGGGGGGCATGATAACATATAAAATACTGAGAGGAATTGACAAAGTGGAGAGAGACAGGATGTTCCAGAGATGGGACACAGCAACAAGGGGACACAGTTGAAAGTTCAAGACTCGGATGAATCACAGGAATGTTAGGAAGTATTTTTTCAGTCACAGTTGTCAGGAAGTGAAATAGTCTGGAAAGGGAGGTGGTGGAGGCAGGATCCATACATAGTTTTAAAAAGAGGTATGATAAAGCTCATGGAGCAGGGAGAGAGTGGACGTAGTAGCAATCAATGAAGAGGCGGGGCCAGGAGCTGTGAATCGACCCCTGAAACACAATTAGATGAGTACACACACACATAGTGATGGAGATAGACTCAATACACAGCTTCAAGAGTAGATATGATAATTCCCAAAAGGAGGTGGGGCCCAGCGTTGGACTTCAAGCACAAACAACGACAATAATAATAATAATTCGTATTTAGCTTAACAGGTATTCTTGACTGGTGGTGAACAGGTGAAATTAAGCCCTCGTGTAGTAGACAAACTTCATATACCCCTTTTATACTAGTGTATTATACAGGCTTCATACATCCGCTTTCACAGTTCCTCACAATTATCATACATCTGCTCTTCTCTACCAGGCAAAAAATGGTCGTTATTGTCTTACACAAGTATCGTATTTGTTTACTGTTCTGTATACCCATGGTCTTGTTCAAGCACTCATGGTCTGTCATGGTCTTGTTCAAGCACTCATGGTCTGCCATGGTCCTGTTCAAGCAGTCACGGTCTGTCATAATTTTGTTCAAGCACTCATGGTCTGTCATGGTCTTGTTCAAGGACTCATGGTCTTGTTCAATCAGTCATGGTCTTGTTCAGTCAATCATGGTCTTGTTCAGTCAATCATGGTCTTGTTCAAGCAGTCACTGTCTACCGTGATCTGGAAGACAGTCATGTAGAGCTGTCAGAACGATGTGACACCAGATTTCAGGGAGTAGGACTCATACGGCACTAGCCGTCATGGCCCTATAAATCAATAACAATAGTACTGAGCTGTCGAAGCCCATATAAACAATTATCAACAATATTGAGTCGTCGAAGCCCTTATACACCATCAGTCCTCCCTCGCCTCACCACTGTATCCTTCTTTGTATTAGCCTCTTTTGTTACTTTTAATTCTAGCACATTGATGTTCTACATCAAATATACGATAACATTTCTGGGAAATTATTAGATACAAAGTATATGGGAACGAAAACCCGAAATTGTTTTTTTAGCCATGAAATAAAAAAAATATAGATTTTGAGGGACGAGTCCTCACCTGATTCCCCTCCTGATCTCTGTGCACCTGAGTGTCGTCACCTGACACCTTCGTCATCTCAACGCGGCCAAACTCTGGCCCTTAAATCCACCTTAAGTGCCAATCACCTGTCGGAACCCCTGGTGCCTGGGTGCCAAAGGGAGGCCGGGAGGGAGTGGCACTAATCCCGGCTGTGTCAACAAGCATGTAGTGCCATGTAGTGCCAGCCACACACGGAGTTTTGGTGTCATATATCCCTCTGGGGCTGAACCGCAGAACTTATGTGTTTTGCTTTCTCTGAGAGCTGGTTCATTTCTCAAGGGGTTCTAATTGCTCAATATGAGGTGATTGAAAGGTTAATTACCTGGCTAATTACCCAATCAACACTGTGCCAAAACAAGTCATGCGAGTGAGAGATCAGGGAGTACAGGGATTGTTGACTGCCACCACGATGGTAGTGGCTAGTTTATTGTGTACCTCGTAACTCTGCTGTGGATGGTAGTGGCTAGTTTATTGTGTACTTCGTAACTCTGCTGTGGATGATAGTGGCTAGTTTATTGTGTACCTCGTAACTCTGCTGTGGATGATAGTGGCTAGTTTATTGT